AGCATTAGTGAGGAGGGCTGGACTGGGTGCCATTGATATGCTGATGGCACACCCAGCTCATAAATGAAATTGGCACATGGAAGAAAGCTGTCTAGCTGCCTCTCAGACTGGGCAAGGCTGACATGAGGCTGTGGGCTGGGAGAAGAAACTGGAGGGCACAGTAGAAGGAGAGCTTGCCCAGGGTTGCATACAGTTGCAATTGGGGGGCCTGTCCAAACCCTGGGGTATCCAGCCAGTAGCAGTGGCCCAGTCTGCTTTCTTTCGGCTGTGCACGGTGGGAAGCATGCACCTTTCCTCTGAGCTGCGGCCTCTTGGTGCCAGGCCTTTGTCACTTTCAGCCTAGGCCTCTGCAAGGCACCCCATGTGGGGTGAAAACGCCAGCCAGGGCGGACAATGGCTGCCTGCTTCCTGGGTGGTGCTTGTTGCTGCAAGCGCACTGCACCACAGCACCCTGGCTTGGAAGGGTACGGCATTTTCCGTAAGAAGCCCTCATCTCTAGAACTCTCTTGGCCAGAGCTCAGCTCTGTTAACATTCAGGGCATCTGGTCCCATAGAGTCTCCCAGGCCTGGTCTACACATATCGATGAAAAAATTCTTCCGTCCACTCAGCTGCCACCTCTCAGAGAAGTGGAGTTGGGTTCATCATCAGAAAAACCCCTCCCATAGCTGTAGGGAGTGTCTCCGCTATCTATGACACTACAGCAGCATAACAACAGGCTGCTGTGACATACCCCCAGGCTTTCCCCTGAGGAGTGGGCCAAGGGCCTTCACTGTAGGGGGTTGCTGTTGATGATGGAGCTTGCAGCAGTTATATGGGCTCAGGGTGCAAGGAAGCAGGCTATGCTGCAAGTTGGCTTGGCAGGCAGAGTGCATTTTCTGAGGGATATTTAGCCCTTTGCTCTGGTTTTATGTCCACACAGGTACCTAGCGCATAGAGAGGCACTTCGAATAGAGTCAAATCAGTTAATAAAATTCAGCCCCCAAGATGTGTTTTGTTTATCATTATAGCGCCTAGAAGGCTGAACTGAGATCTTCATTGTGCTAAGGGCTAGTATACAGGCTGTACGCATAGTGAGGTCAAGGCCCTGCTCCAAAGAGCTTACTAGGCAAGAGGTGAAGGGGAAACTGAGGCACAGAGTGGACACATGCAAGCCAGTGGTTGAACTGGGACTAGAACCCAGATTTCCTGAGTCCCCTGCATTGCTCCTAACTACTGGACCATGCAAAATTTACTCACTGACAGCCAAATGGAGATGTAAAAACTGCAACCCCAGATCAGCCTCGCCCTTCATTTCTGCTTTAATGAACTAGCCCATAACCACAGCAGCTGCAGTTGCTCACCACCAGTTCATCCTGGTAGCTCCGCTCCTTGGGAGGGGACGGCAGCAGCTTGCTCAGCCTTGCTTGGTCAGAGAGCCAGGTTGCACACTCTCTGCCCCCAGGGCAGATGTGGCATTGTCCTGTGGAGTCCCTATTGGCTTCTCTCCACCCCTCCGGAACCATTCATCACCCATATTTATCACAAGGCTCTCGCTCTCTAGCACAGTGATATTGAAATCTTTTAAATTAGTGCCTCGAGGCAGGGGCAATAGAGGATGCTTAAGCCCAGATGAGGGTCCCCTGGTAGTGGGGGGCTCTATACAAGGCCCAGCACTGCAGGTGATCCAGAACAAAATAGTGGGGGAGAGGAGGGAAAGGAAGATGCATAGGTCTTGAGCCTTACATCTAGATGGGAGGCAGAGGCAGTTTCTGGCTTTCTCTAACCTCACTGTGAGCTGGCAGCATTCACATGCCAAAGGAAATGTTGACCCTGCTGAAGCATGCAAGGGGGTTAGATACCTTTCCTGTGGCTCTGAGCAATCACCACAGCCTCAGCCCCACTGATAACTAGAAGAGGGTGCTGGTGGCATCTTCACGCTCTTCTTAAACCCCTCAATGCAGCCTTTTCGAGATGCACTGACACAGGGAGGGGAGGGAGGGAGCGAGTCAAAGCTTCAGGAAAAACATAGTGCAATGCTGCCATCTCCTGGAGGACAGCTCAGGTCTCGTCCGTAAAATTCTGGAGGCCTGATCCTCCATGGAGTCACAGTCTCGGTGCTCTGGAACTGCTCTGAATGAAGTTCAGCCAGGAATAAGGTGCAGTGTGTCTCTCCTCAGGACACACTTTCACCAGGGCAAGAAGCCTGCTCGGCTTCGGCTCTTCCTGGGTCCGACCTCGGAGCATTCAGCCCTCTGTTCACACTGTGGGCTCCCTGCAGGTCTACCTAGATAGAATACCCGGAGAAGCCTTACATGCCCCCAATGGGCCATGCACCTCAACTTCGCAGTCAGAAGTGATGCTCAGCCAGCATTGTAAAACTGAAGGTTTATCAGTTGTTGGGAATACAGCGTAGAACAGATCTTGTTAGCACAGAAATCAGGAATGTTGCAGTGAAGTACATCTTGGGGAGAGAGAAATAATCCAGAGCCCAAGACCCTTGTCCTCCCCTCTGAGTCCCAAACCACAAAGCTGACCCGCTTCCAGCAGCCCAACCTCAGACCTGCCCATTGCCCCTCCTCCACCCTTTGTCTCTCTCCCGGGCAAACAGGTTACCTGGTCTGCACCAACACATCCTGCTGAATCCATTTCACTGCAGCCTGAGCAGACATTCCCCCCAGTTCAAATTGCTGCTATTCTCATTCGGTAGCATTTTATCCCCCCTTTCACCTGGTGCAAATGACTGGGGCAAAGTGCATGGCAAACGGGGTGTCAGGCCCAAGAAGCTGGGGCCCAATCTTGCCAAGTGCTGAGTGCCAGCAGCTCCCACAGTGGGTGCTCAGCACTTGGCAGGAGGTGCTCAGCCCCCCTCAGGATCAGGCCTTGTATCTGTTGCTGTCATGAGTTTTCGGCCCTGGGTGGGGAAACCATGTTAGCACCTTGCCCTCGAGAGCTTTGGTCCAGCACACTTCCCTAGAGTGCTGCTAGCATGGCTTCCTTGGCCAGAGGTCGACCATGGGTCCATACTCTGCCACACTGCCAGCCAAAGTGGGCATACAGCTCCAAAGCTGACCCTGATCTCAACATGCACGCCATGTGTGCAACCCCGCTAACACACAGCAATTGCTGTGCCCTGGTTAGCAGCCGGCCCACATACGAAAATACAAGCCCACTATTACTGTCAGCTGAGGGAGTTGCTCCTTTATCTCAAGTTGTAGAGGGTCATGTTTTTAGTGCTGACAGTCTGAGGTTCAAAGCCAAGTCGGTGGGGTCATTATAGGTACATCCATGCACTGTATACACACCTGCTTATGTACACATCTCAACTCAGACATGGCAGCCCTTTCTGAGCCCCTGGCACTTAATCCCCACCTGCTTTCCTTCTACCCGGCTGCAGTGCATTCTCTCCTCAACAAGCTGACCTCCCCGTCTGTCCTACTCATCAGGTCGTGTTGCCTTCAATTCCCAGATGCAGAGCACAGGTCTAAGCAGAACATGCTCTCTGACCCAAATCCCACTGCACTCAGTGGGAGTCTTTCAGTGACTTCAATGGGCTCTTGCTCAGGCCCATGGTAGGGAACGAGAATGTTGGCACTAGATCAGATAGGCTGGCCTTTGTACCAGGTAAGTGGTGTCAGCTGACTCACCCAGGAGGCGGGGTTGGTGTCCCTCTCAAGGAGGCTCTCAGATGCACCCTCCCCATGAATGTATCCATTGATGCCCTATGTTAACTTAGCACCATCCACCAGTCCCCATTACAAAACCAATCCCCGCTCCACCTAGCCTGCGCTACCTGTGAATTGCAGGCACAACAAGATGTCCTGCACCCGTCTGGCGCCTACCTTGGCCAAGCAATGAGCAGGATGTGCTGTTTGGTTCTGACGTGTCGCCTGCCATAGCCTTTTCCTAATAATACACTTGGCTGCCCGGCTTGTTAATTACCGCTCCCCACCCCACCTCAAAATAGATTATTGAGCAAGGGCCTCAAAGGACTGTGTGCAAACAAAGATCCAGAAGAGGGGTTTCTTTGTGGCTAGTGAATCCATGGTGGCCTGGCCCAGTGCTGCAGATTTGAGGCCCCTCTTTATGCCCAAAATAAACACCACAGGCCTGGGAGCTGGCAGAACAAGCTTCCCTCAGAGTGCCCCCTCCCTTCCCCACCAGATGGCCTCCACCTGACAGGGAGGGACTCCCCTTCAGAGGGGACCTGTGACCTGCCCACTCAGTCCCTGGCCTCTCCGCAGGTGTCAGCGACATCAGAAAACCAGCCAGAGGCTCCTGCAGTAGGGTCCAGGACATGACTGACTCAGGGCGCATTCTGTGCTGTGCAGCATCACTGCTTGGGGGAGCCAAGAGGATGGTCTCCAGCCAGAAATGGCCAGCAGAGGATTCTCCTTGTGCTGGGGAAATGCCCGGCAGGCATAAAGCCGGGGAGCTGGCAGAGCAGCTCCTGCAATAGCTGCCCCTCCACCCCAGCATGGGACATGCCAGGGAGGGAGACAGGTTGGGAGCAGGCTGACAGTGGCTCTGATATGCCAATTCTCCACTGGCATATGGTCCCTCAGGGGCATAAGTCAAAGTGGCCCCCGTAGCTGCTGAATCAGGGAGCTGTAACTGTCTCCCTGACAGGGCCCCTCTGAGCAAAGCTGGAACACAGGGGAGAACAGAGCCCATGATGTGCAAAACACAGTCTCCTGTGTGCCACCTAACCACCCAGAGAGCATGTGCGTGCCCTGCCCACAGGGGATCCTTTGGTCACACAGCAGCTCTCTGCTCAGAGCTTGTCGGGAACCAGCTCCTTTAAAAATACATCGATCAATATTTATCTGGCTTTAACAACGGGTGTCCTTATTTGACCAATGCCGCGCCTGGGAGGGGCTGGAAACCCCGATAATACTGGAACATCACAGCTAAACTCCTCACCCGATACACCCTAAAACCAGGCTAAAAATAAACAGGCTTTATTGATTTATTTTAAAAATAAAACAAAGGAGCGACCCATTCAGTGACGTGAGGGGGACTACAAGACCAGCCGTGGGGGTAGCGTGGGGGTCGCAGGGGGTAGCATTGGGCAAGTGCAGTCATATCACGCTGTGAACCTCACTGATAGAAGTCAGAAAGTCTCAAGCCAAGAGCCAGATCCATAGCCCACTGAAATAAACAGCAGTCTTTCCATTGACTTTTCAGGGCTTTGAATCAGGCCTCAAGTGCGCTGTACCTACTAGGACTAACATGCAGTGATATGCTGGTGTCACATAGTCACGGCCCAGCTTGGAGCCTCAGGGAAAGAAAAGACCACAGCCCAGAGTAGTGGCCTGGCTCACTCCATAACATCAATAACCAGGGGGGTGAGGTACTCGGAGTGACGGATCCCCAGGCTGAAATCCGGGGCCCTCGGCTTGGTGATGGTGACACGGCTGGTCTTGTAGTCCGCCGGCCCTGGAGTAGAGTCCCTTACGAAGTTGTACTTTCTCCACATGCTGTAGGCAGGTTGCCGGTGCAAGTAGACATTCGGTTCAGGCACAACAAAGGATGCTGGGCCAGGGACTCTCGCCAGCTCCTTGGCGTTGCTCCATATGTCCATTTTGGAGGCCATGCTGTAGCAGGGGGCAGATGGCTTGATGGGAAGTCTAGGTCCCAGCATCCCTGGGAGGGTATAGGCATTGGGAGCTGGGTTGGGATCATTTTCACGGTAACGAGTGCGGTCAGCCAAGGAATAAGCCGGTGCGTAGGGTTCCCCCTGCGGATGCACCTTCTCTGTGTAGTATTCAGTTGGGGCAGGTGTGCTCATCAAACCTGGGAGCCAAGAGGCAGTTTGGTATCAATGTTACTCTGGTAGGGTTGGATTCTGCCTACTTCCGAAGCTGGCTGCACCCTGAGGTGTAGGCTGGTGCCCGCTGTGGGGTCATGCAACAGGCCTTTGGCCACGGCAGACCTCACTTCAAACGTGGCTTGCATTTCAAAAGAGTTTCTGTCTTACCAGAGTGTCTCTGGCCTGGGGAAATGGTGTGGATAGAATTGAGATGGATTGGCAGAGCTGTATGCAGGGGACCAGCAGTCAGAAAGGAGGGTGCATTCGTAGAGCTGTGGGGTGGGATGCTAACAGGGGAGGGCATTGTGCATCAGCCCTGAGAATCAGTCCAGACCCTCATCTGGTATAAATCGGTGCAGCTCCATTTCATTCAATGGCATGATACCCATTTACACCGAGGATCTAGCCCAAAGTTTTTAAGATCACTTGCCTTCACTATGCCTGGCAGTGGGCAAAACTCACATATTTCAAAGTTTGAATGACATTTTCAACCATTAAATCACAGTTAGTTGTCACAGGACTTTGTCAGATGTTGTGCTACCTGCAACAGCTTCTGGCACTGTCTGGTCTCTCTTTTGTCCTGCCTTTCCCCTAGTAGCCCCATCCCCTCTCCCCCATTGCTGCACCAGCACTCTGCCTTCTCTCTGGATTCATGCCTTCTAGATCCCCTTATATGAGGCAAATTGTGCATTAGCTGTCTCCTGCCACCTGATATTATAAACACCTGGGGACTCCAAGAAAATCTCATGCTGCCATCACTGTTTACATGTGATTCCCTTTAGAACACATTTTCAATGAGACTCACATGTCCAAAAGCAATTTTAGAAGCCCAGAAGACAATGCACTCCTGTACCACCCCAACCCCATGCACCAGGGTTTAGATGCACTAAGAAATCTAATCCCACCCTTTGTGTTCCCTGGGGCCCATAAAGGATTCTGCCCAGCTCCCATTGAAGTCAATGAGAGCTCCATCCGTGATACAAGTCAAATATCTCCTCATATGCTGGCTAACCAAGAAGATACTAGCATATCCCTTAGTCAATGGAGAGTCACGACCAAGCAAGTCCCCTCACTATATAGTGCGGGGGTCCACCCAAAGGTGTGCTGATCCCTGGGAGCAGCCCACTGTTCTGGCTCTAGTGGAAGGGAAAGTGGCCTGTGCCAAGAAGAGGAGGAGACATCTCCTGGGACAACCCCATTTCCAGCTCACAAAGAGGAGCTGTTCCAAAGACATGGATCTGGGACATCAGACCAAGAGGGTCCAGGCACTGCCTTAGGACTCAAGGTAACTGCAGCCTTCCTGGGTGCAGGGGCTGCTCCGACCCTCGGAGGAGTCACTGAGGCATTAACCAATCAGCCAGGGCTGTCCCATTGTAAATGTTATTGATGCTTTTCTGAAGAAACCATCTCAGTGTGTTGGATTTCCCACAGCCAGAGAGCACCGCCAGCAGGCAATGCCGACCCCTCCAACATTGCTCAGCATCCTGCTGCTCTGGGGGGCAAACAGCTGCACAGTGTTTCACACACACACACACACTTCTGCACAGACAAGGGGTGTTAAGGCATGGACTGGCCTTTGTGCCTTCAGTACATATCCCCTCCCTCAGGGCCGAGGGCCATTCTTGGAGGGGGTAGCCAGGTGCCCAGCGTCATGCCCTGATGCCATGGCATTCAGGAGATGGATTGGTAAATGGCACATTCCCAGCCCTACTCTCTAAGCAGTGACTGCAGGGGCTCAGGGGGACACACAGCAGCCCTGATCTCCACTCCCTGTGGGGGCCTGGACGAGTCTCTGCGTTGTGGTTTTCTCACAGCCGTTCCAGCGCCCCAGGCCCCTGCAGCGTTACAGTGAAACAAGGCTCAGAAGACTGGCTGGCAGGTCAGAGCCAGAGCAGGCAGGGGCATGGCAGAGGCCAGAGACAGCAGGTGGCACGGTACTGTCTATCACCAGTGAACCCGGTAAGAGACCCCCCTCTCCTGCCGCTCTCCCTCCAGGGTAAATGTCGCCATGGAGCAGACTCTAGGGGGTCAGGGCAGTGACACATCAGCCCAGATGGGCATGAGGCTGAGGGGGAGACACCCGCTGGGCCGTGGGAATAAGGCGACGGCCGGGGACATGCGGGTTTGCTGGCAAATCCCTGTTTATTTATGCAGCAGAAGCGCGGCCCTCATTCCATCTTCATAGTAATGCACAGGCCACGGAGAGGCTTGGGCCAGGTGACCAGCTAAACAGGGTCCTGCCAAACGACCCCAAACACAAGCAGATCCAGGGAGGGGCCAGCAGGCCCTCAGCACCTCCGCTCACATGGCAGGAGGGTCAGAGGAAACAGGCCAGGCCCTGGTCTCACTGACGCCAGTGGGAGCCTTGCCATTGACTGCAATGGGGGCAGGGTTTGGTCAGTACAAGGCTCATCTGGTTCCATTGCAGCCTGAGCCTTAGGGAAGCCTCCTGCCTCTGCCCATGGTGCTTGACAAGGGACAGCTGGGACCAGCGCAGTGAGTGACTCTCCAAGCACCTGCCTGCAGAGCCAAAGTGGCAGTCAGGAACCTGAATGCTTATCACCCTCATTCATCTCCGCTTTCTCCCTGGGCCTCTCTAATGGCCACATGGGCAGATTCCCAAGGCAAATCCTTATTAGAGCACCTCAGTTTTACCTTCCTACCTCTCACCTAAGAAAGCCCGAAACAATATGCCCTCCTTTGACCACACAAATAGCCCCAGCCCTGTCCCCATGACTCTCCATCATCTCTTCTCCTTTCACAGGCCTGTCTGCATCACAACAATTTAATCTATATCTGTAGCGTATGTCTTCATTTTGTTTTGTAAGCACCATTTTGGTTGTGATGTCCACTGTCCTGAGCCTTCCCTGTTGTCTCTTTGCCTCCATCTTGGACTAGGATTCCAAGAAGTGTTGACAATGCAGAGCAATCAAGAGTCATTAACCTGGAGGGCCTCCTGCTGAAAGGCAAGCACCTTGGACAATGAACTAGCTACTGCCCTGAGAAACCCATCCTTCCAGGTGAGATGGAAACCAAGCAATGGATCACCTGACAAGGGACTTGAAGTGACTGAGGATGGTCACCTGACACAGGAGACTGCAGCTTTATGAAAGGAAGCTCTCTCACCAGTCATCTTCAGAGAAGGAGAGGAAGACCCGAAGCTGAAGGCTGAGCAGGAGGAGAGGGATGCAGGAAGGACTTGGGATCCCTAAAAGGGTGGCCCAAAACCCACAGGGCAATCAGAGTGGTGAGGACACTGGAAGGAGGGATTTACATGCAGGTATTTGTTAGTTTTGTACAGATCTGTATACCTCTTGTGCTTTTTCTATGAGTAAAGTGTGTGTATGTGTGTCTGTGTGTTCAGAAACTCCTTTGCAGTGTCTGAGTGGTACCTGCTTACACTGTCACGCCATCCCTGAAGCGGGAGACAACTGGCCAGCACATGCAATTGGACCATGGGGTCAGACGTGGGGTCTGCACCTGGGGGGTTTGCCTGGAGGCCCACAAACAGGGCCTAAACTCTGCCCACCCCCAACAAGCAAGAGCCTGTGAGCCCCCAGGGTGGGGTCCAGTACAGCAGACTGGGGAGTATCTGGCAGGGTGAAATCATCAGGGTTGCAACATTCCCTCATTACCGTTATCTGGGAGCTCCCAAACACAGCACTTCCCATAGGCCATGACCAGACTGTGCTCGCTGCCTCTGTTTCTCTCTCCCTTTGAATGGGCTGCCCCTCCGAGACATCTGTGGTGAGTGAGTCAACTGGCTCCAGGCTGCTGAGCTCTTGAAGAGCGTTGTCTGTACCCTTCCACACAATGATGCACTGGGAACATAAGGGCTCCTGGGACCCGACCTGCACAAGCCATCAGCTGCTTTTTATTTCCTCGCCCCCTCACTGGGACGATGAACTCTTCAAGTGAAGAAGCTAAAGCAGCAGCCCACGTAGCTCAGGCCTCTAGGCCCTAGCAGCTGCACAGAAATACAGGCAATAGCAATGCTTGGCACGGTGGCTTTTCTGCTCATCTTTCTCCCCGGCTGCCAGTTGGTTAATAAGGACCAGAGCAACTATTGCTGCTTGGGTCCAGCTGGGACATGCCACTAACTGCTCTCATTACGGGTATCAGCATCTCCCCTGGGGCTCTAGTGCTGGCCTCTCTGTCTATTCTCCTCGGGGACCTCCTGCCTTTATCTTCGCTCTTCAAAGCCCTTCTACGCAGAGCCCACCACCTCTGTTCACTTCCCCAGGGGACCGATTTCATCTTTTTCTCCCTGAATGCCCAGCTCACTTCAGCAGCAGGGTCTTCACCCCTCATTGCCTTTTCCAGCAAGAGCCGTGTTTTCTCCTGAGGAACAGTTCCATTCTCTTGGTGACCCCTCCGGCTTGCAGCTCGTCTGCCCTGCTTGCTACTGACCTCCCCAGATCGAGCAGTGCTAAAGGGAGGGCATTCTAAGCAAGGCCCACATTAGGCACTGAGGGCTGGATGCTGTGCTGGCGTGACTGTCATAGGTGCCGAGTGAACGGCTGAGATACATTTGTACACCCTGCCTTAAACAGGCATCCCAGCCCTTCAGCACTGACCTTTAAGAGGCTCACTAAGTAAGTGCCACAGGCCAGATGAGTCAGTGCGCTTGGTAATTCAGACCATTAACCCCCAAAAGGGTTTGCTGGGACAGACACAGCGGGTCGTGTAATGGATAACATGACAGAGGTGTGAGAACATCAGCAAGCGCAATGGTGGCACATCCTTCACCTCCCTTTGGAGTTTCACACACTCCCATGGCAGCATGGACAGAACCTTCAGCGTTGGCAACCTCTCCTCCTGGACAGCTGGGAAGGGGCAGAGGATGTCCCATCCGATGCCAGACTGAACTGGAAGGAGGACTACTTGCCCAGCAGGGGGCTAAGAGCAATAGGAGTGGCCAGAGCCTAGCAGAAGCCCCCTGAGCAAGCTACCAGATCCTTACTAGGTCCAGAAGGTCCTCAGCTCCTGCACTGCTTGGTTTGCATGTTGTTATTAGCCGTGTATACAGCACTGCAGGCCTGGAAGGACCTTAGGGAAATGTGGCAAACAAATTACAGTCCCTGCGCCAAATAGTTTATAGTCTAAAGGCACAAATTGGTGTGGTACAGCTGGGATGACGTGGAGACAAGTTTCAGAGTTTAAGGACCAGAAGGTGTCTGTTCAGGGGACAAGTCCAGCAAGGAAATAAGGGGATAGGACAGGAGGGCTATCCAGAAGGGAAAAGGAGGAGGGCCAGCAGAGTACAATGATGGAGCTGAGAATTCAGGTGGATGGAGCCAAGGAAGAAGTTGAACCTGAGCAATACCCTCTCCTATATTTCTGTATCAATGCACACCAGCTGCCACATCCCAACCCATACGTGACAGATGGGTGTCTGGAATGCCACTTAGCGCATATCTGCCTGCAGGCCAAAGGCATATTCGTGTCTGGAGATGTCATCATGCACTGTCAGCACAGGAGTAGACGAAGCTTTCTGTGCAGAGCAGGAGCCTGCTGTTTCCCTGGATGCGAGGTTGATCAAGACGTGAGGTAATCTGGCTTCTTCTTTGCAGGGTTACGCCCAGGGAAGTAGCTGTGCCCTTGTGGGCTGTGTGGTTTCTGTGTGGAGCTGGAAATGATATCATCTGGAACAGCAGGCTGTATTCTGACAGGAGCCTTGGCTTGGACTCATACTCACAAGCATCCCTCAATTACACAATCATGAGTTGTGATGTTCTATTTTTTCCCTGTGCCCTCTGGGTCCCTGAGTTGGAGGTCTTTTGGCTGAAACTCTTGGGGTATCTTCCCTCAGATTTGGTCTTTGGCCCACATGGATTGGGGGGAGGGGGGACTCTGTCAGTCCTGGAACAGAGGTGGTCACAAACTGCATACAATCTCTTCTTCCAGGAAAATCAGCCCCACGCCAGTGCCCAGTTCCCAGGGGGTAACCACCACAGGAACTGACTCAGAGAGCAAATTCTCCTGCGGCTCACAGGGCTCCCTCCCCAGAAGCTGCCACCACACAGAACCTTGCCTCACCCCAAACTAACACCACATAGCATGTCTTCACAAGACCAAATGTTTGTTCACATGCTAAACAATAAAGAACTTGGAAGACTATATATAACAGGGCCACCTGCCATAACAGTCTGATGCCTATTTAACAGGCCAGGAAATTGAGCAACCGAGGTATTGAGCGCCTTGGCCAGACTCACACAGGAAGTCTGTGATAGAGTCAGGAATTCAACCCCAGTCTCCCAGCACCTAGTCTTGTGCCTTACCCTGCAGACCAGCCTTCCTCCCTCACATGGGCACAACTATTTGAAGACATCAGAGACAGACTTGTCAGCAGTTGCTTTGCGATGCAGGACAGCCAATTCTCATGCACGGGGACCTCACGTCCCTCTCCCCACAGTTATTATAACAGAGGGCTTCACTGTGGTGGTGTAGGATATCACCATTAAACTCCTCAATGGCATTGTCATTCATGGTTGCTTATCTTTAATTCCATAGCTAACCTCCAAAGTTCTCGATTATGAAACTAAAGCTACATAACCCTCTTGGATTCCTTGCCATTATTTCCACATGGTTTGCACTGGCGTTGCTGTCTGTTCATTCAGGCAGTCACATACTCAGACTCTCCAAGTCCCCCAGCTTTAGGAAGATGAGGTGTTCTGGATTTACTGAACAATCCAAATTGGCCCCTGCTGTTATCCTTTCCCATTCGTCTGCATAAACCAAACCCTACAGGGATTTATACATCTGCCCAGCTGCTTCTAACGGCTACACAGAGCCACAATGTTTCCCATCACCTGCTCCCTGAGCTGAGGCAGAGAAGGCAGCTGGATAGAGCCAACAAAATTCCAGATGTGGCTGCTGTCAACAAGCCACATGTGTTTGCGAGAGTGGGAGTAGAAGTACACACTCGCGCTCTCTGTGTCTCTAACACGAGTTGAAGTAACATATGCTAAGACTGTCAGCTCCTTGAGGCAGGGACCACCTGTTGGTTCTGTATATGTAGAGCACCTAACACAATAAGAGTCCTGGTCCATGCTCCTGGTCCTGGTCCTCCCTGGTCCTGATCCTCAGCACGATTATTATTGTTGATTGTATAATTAATAATAATGGCATTTTTGCCAGTTTACTTTATTTGTGGCCCTGTTACGTGTAGTCTTCCCTGTGCTTAGGAAAGCTAGAGGTTTCCAGTTACTGTTTGCTAGTTGTCCACTGTATGTCTGGTAAGCCTGGATAGTGGCTGGAGGGAGCGTATGCATCTATAGGAAGTTTCTCAATGTAACTTTTTTCCTCCCATTAAATACATTTCTCGCCTCACCCCATGATTCCCAAAGAGGATGTGGAGGTCACATGGGAGAAGGCGTGTCTGCCCTCTCTAAATAATGTTAAAAAAACAAACCACCTTAGAGTCTGATCCAAAGCCCACTGAAGTCAATGGGAATCTTTCCACTGGCCTGAAAGGGCTGCAGATCAGCCCCTGATTCACCAAGAGGAGAGGGTAAAGGTCTTTCCCGCTCATCTACCAAATGGTGGGTGTGTTGTTAAACACGCACAAGGCAACTGGGACCCTCTGCAGAGCGTCTGTTTAATAAACATTAGGTGGATTGGGGACACGTAAGTTAGACACTGATAGCCCTGGTTAGAGCAAGGGGAAGTACCGGCAGCTGTAGCAATGCATGTGGAGTCTGGCCTCCAATAGCCCGGTTATTCAGTGACTGTCCTCCCAAATAACATCGCTAATGCACCACCGTGCTAAAATAATTCGGTTGCTCTTCCAGTCTTGTATCTCCCACAGCTCTACCAATGCACCTCTCTCTGAGCTGCTATTCCAGTGCCATGGGCCATTCCTGAACAGCACTGAAGGTGTGCAGTATGTTCCTGAGCATACCGAAGTGATGACAAACTCCGGTGGTATCATGCTAAAACAAATGCCCACTAAGGGCGAGGATGAGACCTTCAACCTCATGTCAGTTGCAGTCAATGTCGTATTGAAACCCACATCTGCAGAGAAGACAAACTAGTGCATTTACCCACTGCAACACCAAGGTCCCTAGAAGGTCTAACTACATTCTGGCTCCTTCATCCCCATGCAGAGCGAGACTTCATAAATGTCATCAGAATTCCAGCTAGGTTAGGAGATGCAGGCTCAGATCATCAGCTAGTGTAAACCAATGTAGCTCCATTATGGAGCTAGGCTAATACACACCAGCAGAGGAGCTGGCCCAGTGAGAATCAATGGGCCAGATTCCACCCTAGTGTAATGGGCTTGCCCTGGGTATGAATTTGGCCTGCTTGGATCCAATGTGTTAGTTATTTTTTGCGAAACACCGAGAGGGCTTGGGCTGTCGTATGCCAAGAAATTATGAAAGAGTAACTAACTCCTCCTGGTGCGAGCGTATGTGATTGTTCTCAGCACGTTCCATGCATGCTGCCTTCCAGGGTTTGTGTGGTGGGAAGCACAACAGAAGCAGCTTTTCAGGGCCAGAGAGTCCATGGCAGCAAGTGGGGAGCCTGCTTTAAAAAGGAAACAGTCCCCCACCTGGTTAACAGCTGCTAGGTGGAGCAGCAGCTGGTTCTGGACCTGATCCAAAACCCATTGAACTGAGATCTTTCCCAATGCATGGGTGTGCCCCTGATTAAGCTCACATGGGGCTAGGGGACTGGGAGCCAGTCAGATGGATGAGAGAGCTGCTGCCATTGGCACCAGGACAGAGGTAGGTAGCATGCGTGACAGGAACTGTGATGCCAGCGCTCAGGGTTACTGTAGGTACCTATGGGCGCACTGTCCTGGGGACCTAGTCTCCAGATTCCGCCCCAAGAACTGGAACAACCAGAGAAGACAGTCCCCCAGAGAAACCTTCTAGTTTTCCCACTTAGCCCACTGGGACAGCACTTTGTGGGCTTAGGGAGTGCTGGGCAGATAGTCACACAATGCAGACATGATCAGAAAAGCTCAGAGTTCTGTACCTCACTTAATTTTAAGGCGTTCCAAGTAACCTGTGACACTACACTCGTCTATCTGTCCATCATACCCTAACCATCATGGAATGCACTGAAATAACAGACCAGCCATGTTACTGCTACTCACTTAGACTCTTCTCTCGGTTCTGTATGCAGAAGGATGACGGCTTCCACCACCCAAAGCGGGAGAGGTGAGGGTCTATGAAGAAGGCACCAGGACTGACTGTGTCAGCCAAGACTACAAGAGAAAGGAGAAGAATTCAGTTCAGGAAGTATCAGCTCACAAGCCACAGCTGAGAGATCTGACCCTCAGCTCACCATCTTGCACTGGTTTGACTTTTTTGGTCCCTCTAGCTTCCCCTAGAGCCCTTAGAACTCGGATTCTAGAGGGGCTGGGCATGATGACCACATGTCTTTGTGCTGAAGATTTCGTCCCCAACCAGGACAAAGTGCCAGAAATGGGCTGGTTCTGTGCCCATGGGCTGATAGCACCACAGGAACACTCCTGCACTCTGCTACCATTTGGGTAGGAGACATCCAAGAAGCAATGCATTTCTCCCATAGGGACTGTAGCACATGTCATTTATCCTGTAACCTTCTGTAAGTTAGGTGCTCAGTCCATGGACACTTGGGACTAAGACTATCCACATGCTCGTCAGGTGCTGAGTCCTTGGGCCTTTGAGGCTTAGTCAGGTTGTCTTTCCCTCCGACTACAGAGTTTCAAACTCATTTTGGATTTTTGTATTCTAAGGCATTGTGGGCCAGATGTTCAGCTGGTGTAAATCACTGATGTCAATAGATCGACACCAATTCACACGGGCTGAGGATCTGGCTCCATGTCTGTAACTCACTTTTCTCCGTGTGTTTTATACGCATTGTGTAGGCTGGTTCTGCAAACATGGTGAAGTCATGATTCCTGATGCCAGTGCAAGGCTGCCGGCCATATTTTCCAGCTCCTGGCCCTGGAATGCAAACGGAAATGTGAATGTACAATGTTAACATAAAGAGAGGAACGGGCCAGCCCCCCCTTTAACTTATATAAAAGGTTCAACCAGAAGAGATTCACACCCTATGCTCCTTGTGAAGCTCCTTTCTCCTCCTACCCATGTATCATCTCAGTCCAAGACAAGGAAGCGATCTTGTGACTAATGTCCCGTAAGGTCTCTAGCCCTCCTGCCCTAAACCCCATTCTTCAGAGCTTAATAATGAGGGTAACCATCCTCTAATGACAAGGTCTTTATTCTTCCACTGGCCTTGTATCCCGTTCCCTGGCATGGTTATATAATTATGGGAGTTACCAGAAGGTTTACCCTGAAGGAGTTACCCTGACCAGAAGGTTCCTAGCCTCCTGTTCTCCAGAACTCCATGGTGTAGGTGTTACCATCCCTAATGGAAGGTATCACCTCCTCCCCCTTGTCACTCCAGGGCACAGATGAGATAATCTCTGCTCTCTGTATCCTACAGCCCCAGATGGGAATGTGACTGCAAAGGTGACTGTCCCATACAGTTGTAGCTTTCTCACCTTTCCATCCTGGAAAGCATCTCTTCATAAGAGAAAGATTCCCCGATGGACCCCCAAATCCCAACACTCCAAGCTCTGTTGCTTGGCTGTCAATTATGGACTACTGGAAGGTCTCTGCAGGGCTCTGGCAGTGATCCATGGACCATCATTTGAGACTCACTGACCTAACAAGAAGGCCTCCAGCCCCTCTGTTTCCTACCCTCCCAGACTGCAGATGACCTATAGGAGTTACTCCCTGGTTCGAATGCGATTACTTCAGATTTTGCACAAGCCACAGTGATAACCAGATGTAACCAATTCTCCATCAGCCTGAGCAGCCATTGGCATCCCACTAAGACAGGCACAACCTAGAGATGCTGGTTCCCTGTGAACTCTGGCTGTGGCCTACTGGACCCAGTCCGGCTCCATACATACGAGCTTCTCCACTAGTCCCTTTCCCACCCCCCAGCTCTGTCTTTCTGACTTTCTATCTAGAGCAAATCCATCTATAAAATTGCTCACTTGCCTGCCTTAGGATGAAAAGTGCTAACTATTATCAACTACTATTAGCATCAGCAGCACCATCTATCTATCCATCTGTCATCTTGGGATACTGTGCTGGGTAATTCCCATTTATTCCAGGTATTCATCCGTCTATCTCTCTGCCTATCCCCATGGTATCGAGGCAACTCTTTCACTCTAGCTGGAGCAAAGCAGGGACAAGTAGGGCTATTTCTCCCCTAACGTGGTTTAGTTCCAATGTGTTTTCCCCCGGTGAGACGTTCACTCACCCTTGATTTTGGCACTGATTGGTGGGTACTGCTTGACTCCCCCTGGTGCTGTGCCTGAGGTTCTACAGGTGCTAGGGCCATAATTGCCAGCTCGGCTGGGACCTTTAGACTTGGACATTTGCCTTGGGGGAGGCCTCGGGGAGTCTGTATAGCGTCCGTCGCCAGCTGTTACCCTGGAAACACACACCAAGAAAACAATCAATCAATCAATCAATAAATAAAGCTCCACGGCACCCAGGCTTGGCTTCTTGCTAGAGGGACGAGGGCACTGATGAACCGAAAGGGCGGCATGACAAAGTCAAAGCAGCCATTTGCAAACCGTACGTGGGGAAAAGACGGGCTCTGCGTTAACGATCGGTTTGGACCAGTGACTCGCGTTGCTGCCGCTTCAACTTGGCCAAGGATTAAAAGCTTAATTTAAAAAACCAAACAAAAAACCAAACACCCGGATCCTCAAACTTGCCTTCGACTTCTTTTTTTGGACCGTAAATGGCAGCCCCTGCTCTGATTAGCCCTTTGGTTGCCAAGGGGATGACGTAAGTGTGGAATCTGGAAGGTCTGTTTATTTCCACGTTGCCATGGTGCTGGCAGAATGTTGTGGAAGGATGTGTATGGAGCCAAAGGGGGCCAGACTAGCCCCCAATATGATCCAGGGCATTAGCTCTGCATAGTGACCACTAAGGAGGAGAAAGCCACAGGCAGTTGCTGAGACACGGTCTAGCCAGGCTCCAAAGGCTGATCATGTTACCAACCATTGCTGCCGTTGTAAAAGAAAGATTTAGTAAAAAAAACAAACAAACCTTTTATGAGCCCTGCAGCCCAAGTTGTTATCAGAGAATAATATGTAGTCTGTAAAAACCCCAATAGCACTCCTCTAAAGGGGCAGGCTGCTGATGTGTCCAGGCAGCTCTCAAAATAGTTTGTCTCGAGCTAAAGAAGAAGGGTGTCTAGTGCAGTGGTTTTCAAATCGTGGGTCACGACCCAGTACTGGGTCACAGAATGTAAGGCACTTGGTTGCAGCGGCTCTGGTCAGCACCGCCGATCTTGCCGTTAAAAGTCCCATCGGCGGTGCTGCACGGCTAAGGCAGGCTAGTTCCTACTTATTCTGACACTCCGCTGCACCCTGGAAGCGGCCAGCAGAAGGTCTGGTTCCTAGGTGGGGAAGCCACGGGGCTTCGCACACTGCCCCCACTCCGAGCACGGGCTCCACCTCCCATTGGCTGGGAACCGGCCAATGGGAGCTGGTGGGGGGGTGCCTGCAGGTGAGAGCCACGCGGAGCCACTTGCGTACCTCCGCCTAGGAGCCAAACCTGCTGCTCGATGCTTCCAGGATAGGCAGGAAGCCTGCCTTAGCACTCCCACTGCACTGCTGACTGGGAGCCGCCTGAGGTAAGCCCATGCCCCAACCCTACGTCCCAATCCCCTGCCTCATCCCTGAGCCTCCCCAAACCCGTGCCCCTTCCTGCCCCCCAAACCCCTCATCCCCAGCCCCACCCCAGAGCCTGCACCCCCAGCCCAGAGCACTGACCCCCTCCCACACTGCAACCCCCGCCCAGCCCAGAGCCCCCTCCCACACCCTGAACCTCTCATTCCAGGCCCCACCCCACAGCCCTCACCCCAGAGCCCCTCCCACACTACAAACCCCTCATCCCCAGCTCTGTTGGGTCACAGGCATCAACAATTTTCTTCAACTGGGTCACCAGAAAAAAAGTTTGAAAACCACTGGCCTAGTGGCTCTGGCACTCCATGGGGAGCTCAGCACTGGGTTCCAACCCTGGCTCTGCCACTGATCAGCTGTGGCCCTGGGCAAGTCACTTCTCCACTCTCAGCCTGTTTCCCTCTCACCCGTTGCCTGTGCTCCCTATTTCAATGGAAAACTCCTCAGGGCAGGGATCGTCTCTCAGTGCGTATGCACAGTGCCTACCACAATGGGACCTCAGTCTTGGCTGGGGCTTCTAGGCACAGTTACTAATTACAATTAATAATTCTATCCTGGCTTTGTGGTTTGAATGGGACAGGGAGTGAGCAGACTTGGGTTCTGTCCCTCACGCTGCTGCTGAATGTGTATGATCCTAGGCAAACCAGTTAATCACTCTGTGCCTCAGTTTGCCCATCTGTAAAAGAGGGTTTATAACACTTCCTTACCTTTGTAAAGTGCTTTGAGAGTCTCCAATAAAACAAGGACACAAATTACACTAAAAACACACATTGTGCCAACCTCATGGCCACCCCTACACCCTCTTCAAGAGTAAGAATTGTAAAAGCAGAGAGCAGTGAGATTACAGGGGCATTTTAATATGCCCCCAGGTACTTAACTGTTTCTCCTCCAGTTGGGAAGCAGCAGAACTGCTTGCTGTCCTTGTGCTGAGCAAACGAGTACCACCCTTAACGAGTACCACCTGTGTACATACTGCAGTTACACCACTGCTCGTGTGCTGCTGTGTTTGGCATCTTTATCACAGAGTACTCGGGAAGGGAAATCTAGCAGGTTTAGAAGTTTCTTATACAAGAGGAGAATGTAAATTCCCTGAAATCTGCCAAGGAGCCACTCAACGGGAGGTTTCATTGCAGAAAGATGCAGTCCCGCCCTTAAAGGGTCACTGGCAGAGCTGGTAGGCCCCAAATTAGTAGTTTTCAGTTGAACAGGAAGCTTTGCTTCTTGGAGGCACTGGTCCACTGCAGTTTGCTCTCCTCTGCATCAATCCAGATGTTGACTATGAAAGAAAAACAAACCCACAGCCATCATCCTAGCCTCACAAGAGAAACAAATCTGCTGTCCATACCCTGGACTTCTCCTGAGTTTACATTACAGCAGGCTGCAGAGCTGTAATAAATACATGGGGGACTTGAATGAGGTGGCTGAAAGAGAGGGATAGGGATGGGAGAAGTTGCAGCAAAAGCTGTGTCTCTCTTTGTAAGAGCCCATCCAGAGGCAGCATTTTTGTCCTTGCCTCAAATTCATTTATTTCCTTTATTTATTGTGCTAAAAAGACTGACCAGAGTGGAATACAAAGGGGTTTGAGGTACGAGGGAGAGCCCTGTTTTAACTTCCCTAACACCTTCTGCTTGATGGCTCTGTTTCTTGTATCCACCTGTTGTTTCACATCTTATACTTAGATGGCAAGCTCTTTGAAGCAGGGATCCCGTTTGTTGGCTGTGTGTACAGCACTACACAACAGAACCACTTCAATGCAAATGATAAACGATAAAAATAGTGACCCAACATCTATGCTGTTCGTGAAAAAAGCTCCCAAAGTCTCTCCCCACCTGCCTGGACATTTCAGACACCCCACAGTTTGGAGGAGAGAGGGGAACCGTGGGTGATGCTGCAGCAGTAATATACAACTCTTGGAAGATGCCTGATGCCTCCCTTATTCATATTCATTTAGGGAAAAATCCTACACAATAATTCAGTGAAGGTTACGAACCAACATACAGCATCACCAACACAAGCATGATGAAACAAGGAAACAAAAATGTAAAACATCAGCAATCCACATGTCCTCAGGAAACTCACCAATAATGCAGGCTCCTCACAGAACACATTGCAAACATTAGCAACATAGCTCCATAATGCAAGGCCTGATTCCCTGGCCGTCCATCCCCCCGTACTTTGTGCAAAGTGAGTGCAAGGTGAGTGTTTAACACTTTGTATTGCTGTACACTTTCCCAGGGTCTGGCTAGTGGGTCTTGCCCACATGCTCAGGATATAACTGATCACCATATCTGAGGTCAGGAAGGGATTTTTCCCCGGATCAGACTGGCAGAGACCCTGGGGGTTTTCCACCTTCCTTTGCAGCATTGGGCATGGGTCACTTGCAGGTTTAGACTAGTGTAAATGGTGGGTTCTCTATAACTTGAAATCTTTAAACCTGATTAGAGGACTTCAGTAACTCAGCCAGAGGTTAGGGGTCTATTATAGGAGCGGCTGCGTGAGGTTCTGTGGCCTGCAGTGTGCAGGATGTCAGACTATGATCATGCTGGTCCCTTCTGACCTTAAAGTCTATGCAAGGTGCAGCACAATGAACCATCACAGGCCCTGTAAATTGTAACCTTAACTCTGACCATTGATGGGTTGTATGTGGCTGTGATTGAGGCATGTTCCCACCAGCTTACCCATCCTTTGCTCTGTTTGTTGCTAGCTTTCCGCACATGTTTAGTGTTAATCATTTCACTGATCTGCTACTGCAGAATCTGATGTTTAGATCGCAGCATCTTCCTGCCATGAGACAACCCTAACAAGTCCCATCCCATAAACACAGGTTGAGTTCACTTAGCTAGCAAACACAAGTTCTCGCATGTGAGTTTCTATTTATACACACAGGCTACACAGGACAGCACATAAACCCATACACACAACCCAAAAAGACCAATCATTCTTCACTTGCGCCTCAGATGAGGTTAGACATTTTTTAGAAACCACACTAAACTAAAAATTACGCAACACTGCAAATGACAAACTAGATTTTAGCGCCTTCACGCATGAATGGCATGCGATGAATAGATTTACAAGCACTAACAGATAGGCTTCCAGAACTTTGTTCCAGCTGAAAGTGCAAATCTAAAGCCAACCTGAACTCTGGAGCTGCTGATGTGTTTTGACGTTATGGGGCAATGGACGCAACCTATCACTGCCCCCTCTGCAGCTGTTGGTCTGGAGAAGAGATGGGCCCAGTTTGCCAACCTCTGATCCAGCTGTAGACCAGACACAGCCATGTTCTGATGCATGGTTTTGGTTTGGGCGCCTCTCTAATGTGGAAGGGGCGCTGATGGATCTCTGTGCTGTCTGCCCCACAGAATGGGGAAGAGACAAACCTAGGGCTATATGCTCTCTTTGGATATGTCTACATGGCAGCTGCGCTAGCACGGCCTGAGCTAGTGAGCTCAAACTCGCTGTGTGGACATTGCAGCACCAGTGGAGGCTCCAGCTAGCAACTGGTGCTCAAGCCCGCACTACCCTATGGGTCTAAGCTCAGGCAGCTGGCCTTCCACCGGTGCTGCAACCAGACACACACTTTGATGACATCCAGGATTCCCACTGACATCAATTGCCCCCCTTCTGCAATGTAGGACAGAGTAAGGGAGCCCCACTTCCATGGGCAGGCCAAACATCCATGACAGCACACAGCCAGGATAATCGAATTGTTCCCACTAGTTATCGCAGCA